AGCAGGTCGTTAGCTCCTGAGGAGTCCCAGGCTGCGAGAGGGCACAGGTCGGGCTGAGGGACCCCCCTCCCCCCCGAATGCACAAATTTTTGTGCACCGGGCCTCTAGTAGATATATAAAAGGCTAAGTGACTGGCCGACTGGCCAACCGGCCAGTCGCTATGACACACACTAACCACCAGAGGGCAGATGCTCAACACAGGAGCAGAAACCACAGGCATAGAAATATGGAACAGACTGATGAATCTCAGAGGGCAGGAGGGAGGGGGGAGGGTGGGAAGAGATTAATCAAAGATCTTATATGCATACTAGAGGCCCAGTGCACAGATTTGTGCACTAGCGGAGTTCCTTGGCCTGGCCTGTGCCCTCTTGCAATACGGGATCCCTCGGCAGATGTCGGAGAGCTGGTTTCAGCCCGATCCCTGCAGCCCAGGCTGAGGGACCCCACTGGTGCACTGATGGGCCTCTAGTGTTATAATAATTATCAAAGATGAAAAAAGCAATTATCTAGTAAAGGTGGAAATTTGAGAGTTAGATCTGTTTTTACTTTTAAAAACTCTTCAACATCGTGTTTTTTATTTGTATAGCTTCTAATATCCTACTACTTGTGGTTATAATTCACAGAGGTAAAATGGGGCTAATAAAAATAAATGAACAGATGTTAAAAAGGAAATTATTTGGCAGTTTATTAAAGAAGAGTAGCTCATAGTTTATTGGAACTCTGAAATCACATAACAGCATTACATATATGTGATATATACTTTAAAGATATATGTACCTTTTGTATGTATATATATGATTTTATTCCTAGTAAAATTTTTTATTATGGAAAATGTGCAACATATTCAAAAGTAGAGCAGTGTATTGAGACCCCGTATATGTATCACCCAACATAAATATTGTGAATGTGTAGCTAATCTAGTTTTCTTATTACCTCTTTATTACCATTTCTACAGAACTAGTTTTAAACAATTTTATTAATAAACACATCAGTTATCATAGTTATTTAACACAGGAACTATTACTGTATTTTACTACAAATGCTATAATCTTTATAGCTATTTGATGTTGAGATGTTAACTGTAAATATTTATTTAAATTCATGGTGATCTTTGGTTCATCATATCAGGTTATAAATTAACCAGATTATTAGGTTCAGATTCAGGCAGATAATCTTCCAAATTGTTCCTGGTTTCTTCAGAAGGTCAGGACTGTTCGAATACTGTTAATAATTATATTAAAAAAATCAGTACAATATTCACAATAAACTTATCTAAAATTCACAGATAATTTTTGTTTTTATTCATTTCAGGACTTGATTTAATCTTCCTTTATAGACACACAATTTGGTAAGCCTAATTTCTTTTATCTTGTTATCCTCCTTTACTCCTTGCACTAATAAAACTTTATATATGATGCTAATAAGCTGGGAGAGAATTGGGGACCTCACTTGCCCTGGGTGAGGACTGGGCTGCCTAGTGGTGCTGTGAGAAGTAGAGCATGCCGTGTTGTAGTGATGTTTTCATCTTGGAATAGCTCCTGATCTTGGCTTTCCTGTAGCTGAGGGCAAATTGGGCATCAAAAGGAGGTGGTTGGTGTGTTGGGATGCTACTTTCTGAGAATTAAAATATTCCAATTCTTGAATAAGTCCTTCCATATGTACTAGTAAGATGGGGGGTAAGCCTTAAGGACAGAGAATTCCTTATCTTGGATCTTACTGCTGGAGCTGTGGGCTGCCATGCATAAATGCTTTCTTCACTTGGGGCCTGGAAGAGCCACCTCCCCGTGGGGGGAGAGGCTCTGTGTCCTCTCCTCAAAATGAGTCGGGGTCACTGCACCTTAACAGGCCAATTGGTGTATCCCATCTCCTCTCCCCACTTACCTG